GAAGGCTTCCGTGGAAGGGTCCGCATGGCACCACCGCCCCATGTCGGCATACCCCTCACACGTTTCGTGGCCCCATAGGGAGCTCCGCCGAAGGCCCCAGCGGGAGGGTCCGCATGGCACCGCCGCCCCATTTCGGCATACCCCTCACACGTTTCGTGTCCTCTGAGGGAGCTCCACCGAAGGCCCCATAGGGAGCTCCACCGAAGGCCCCAGCGGGAGGGTCCGCATGGCCCCGCTGGCTCCACCGAAGGCACCAGCGGGAGGGTCCGCATGGCACCGCCGCCCCATTGTGGCACACCCCTCACACGCTTCGTGGCCCCATAGGGAGTTCCACCGACGTCCCCAGTGGCAGGGTCCGCATGGCACCGCCGCCCCATGTGGGCACACCCTCAGGCGTTTCGTGGCCCCACAGGGAGCTCCACGGAAGGCCCCAGTTGCAAGGTCCGCATGGCACCGCCGCTCCATTTCGGCACAACCCTCACATGGTTCGTGGCCCCATAGGGAGCTCCACCGAAGTTGGTACCCGCAACGCGGTATGCACATCTGCGTATTGTTGGGTCCTTCGCCAGGATAATTTGTAGTCTCCGTTCCTGGCCCCCAAAACGTCCGCACGAAATTCACTTCGAAATCCGGAGCGACATTCTCCAGGACACTCCAGGCCCATCCCATCGTTTTCCGAGCGAAATCCGCTCTGCGATGTTGGCGCCATGAGACGTATGCACCGAGCCTGGGCTTAAGTCGGGCCTGTCCCTCCACAGGAGGAGTATTCAAAAACAGTCAACAAATAGCCTGGGGACGATCTTCTGGGCCTTTTTTCGCTATTTCTGAATATCTTTTTGCTACTTCTCATTTTTCGCCCAGCAGCCGCCTGTAGGGGGACAAGCCCGACCTACTCCTGGGCCCAGGAGCGGGCCTGGGCCAGGATCGATGCCGCCGCACGGCCGGCGCCCTTGCGGCCTCCGCCGCCCCCTCCGGCCGAGGGCGCCGCCGAGGAGGGCGAGGCCGCGAGGGCCGCCGGGGGCCGTGCGGAGGCCGCGGCGCCCGAGGCCGAGGAGGGCGCCGAGGAGGCACAGGTCGGCCACTGCAAAGGGTATGGCTACGCCGGGGTGCGGTCTGCGATCGGCCTCGTCGGGGCCTGTTGGGCAAGGCGCGGGCCTCCTCGGGGCTCCCTCGGGGCGCGGCGGGGCGCTCTGTCGAGGTCCTCGCCCGCCCCCCGGGGTGTGACCCCTCGGCGAGCCGGGTGGCAGCCCACACCCATGTGCAAAAGCCACGCCCCTTGGGAGTCGCCGAGCAGGACGAGGCGGCCGGCCCGGAGGCACAGGCGTCTCGCCGCCGCCAGCGCTGCTTGGCCGCCGCCAGCCGCCGCCCTCGCCGCCCGCGCCGCCTCGCCGCCACCAGCGCGGCCTCGCCGCCAGAGCGCCAGAGCTCGCCGTGCCACCGCCGCCAGAGCTCACAGAGCCGCCGCCGCCGCCGCGACGCCGCCGGGCTCTCTGGGGGCGAGCTTGTGGCCGTCCCTGGGGGCTTCAGAGGCCCATCGGAAGCGGAGGGAACGATACGGCGAAGATCGTCAGAGGCAACCCGCCCCTCACGCGTTGTCCCTTCTTCTCAGCCTTCTTTTGTGATGCGCTTCTTCGAGCGTCTGCCTTGCGCGTATCGGCAGGGGCGAATTCTGGCAGCACGCCCTTCGCATGGCAGAGGCCAGAGAGGCGGGATGCCTCAGCGGGGTTTTGGAGCTAGGTTTTACCCCTGAGCGCAGCAGTGGCATTCCATTCCGCTTCCAGCTGGATTACCAGCGCCAGCATAACTGCACATGGCGTCGACACTTCAGTGTCAACCACCCGTACACTCTGGATCATCACTATCATCAGCATCACTATCACCATCATCCTCATCATCATCACCATCATCACCATCACAACCACAATCATCATCATCGTCATCATCATCATCATCAGCATCATCATCATCACCATCATCATCATCATCATCATCATCATACTTTCATTATTATTATCATCATATGCGTCAACATTAATCAGCATCACCATCATCATCATCATCAGCATCATCATCATCATCATCATCATCATCATCATCATCATCATCATCATCATCACTAGTATCACTATGGTCATCATCATGAATATCTTATTCATCTCCATCATCCTCACCATGCACATCACCACCACCACCATCATCATCATCATCATCATCATCACCGTCATCGTCGTCGTCATTGCCATCGTCGTCGTCATCATCATCAGCATCATCATCAGCATCATCATCAGCATCATCGTCGTCAGGATCATCAGCACCATCACCAGCATCACCACCATCATCACCATCGCCATGATCATCTTCATCGTCTACACCATCATTACCATCTTCATTATCATCACCATGCGCAACATCACCACATCGTCGTCGTCGTTGTCACCGTCGTCGTCGTCGGTCGTCGTCGTCGTCATCGTCGTCGTCGTCCTCGTCGTCATCAGCAGTAGCAGCAGCAGCAGCCGTCGTCGTCGTCGTCGTCGTCGTCGTCGTCGTCGTCGTCGTCGTCGTCGTCGTCGTCGTCGTCAGAGAGGCAGCAGCATCAGCAGCAGCAGCACCACCACCACCATCAGCAGCACCACCACCACCACCACCGCACCACCACCACCGCCATCATCATCCGTAGCCACTTCGGCTCGATTTTTGGCCCGGGCGGACCGCGTGCGCCCCGCGACGTGGCCGCGCACGGCCCGCCTCGCCCGCCCCGCGGCACCATGGCCGCCGCAGCCCCCGCGCGCGGGCCCCGCGCGGCCCCCGCGCGGCGGCGCCGCGCGGGCCGCGGCCTGCTGGCGCCCGTGCTGCTGGCCGCCGGGGCGGCGCTGCTGCCGGCGGGCGCGCTGCGGGGCGCGCTGCCGCCGGAGGCCGCCCCCGCCGCGGGGCGCGCGCGGCCCGCGGCGGGCGGCCCGCGCGGGGGGCGGCGGCCTCTGCGCCTGGGCGGCGCGGGGCGGTGCCGCGGGCCGCGGCGCCGCGGCCGGCCGGCGCCGAGGCGCGGCTGCGGGGCCTGATCGAGGAGGCCTGCGGCGTGCCCCTGGTGCCCGGGGACGTGGAGTGCGGTATCGTTCAACCGATCCCCATCCCCATCCCCATCCCTATCCCCTTCGAGACCCCCACCAAATTACCCCCCCAGCTGGCGATGCACCCCTCGAAGCCCGAAGGGAAATGACCCATGTCCCCATCCAGGGGGGTAAAGCGGCCAGTGGGGCCCAGGCCACGCCGCTGGAGGTGGGGGCCGGTTCAACGGTACTCAGGAGTGGAGCTGCTGGGCGGAGGAGGGCACGGGTCTGCTCGTCGCCCGAATGCGCCTGGCGGTGCTGGAGCACGACGAGCCCGTGGTCTTCGAGGGCACGGGCGAGACGCAGCGGGAGGCCGAGCGCGGGGCGGCCGAGGCAGCGCTGGGGCACCTCGAGGCCTGGCTGCTGGAGCAGATCCGGAGCCTAGGCGACGACGGTGCGGCCGCAGCGGGCCGTGCGGAGCCGCCCGCGGGCGGGGCGGGGGTGCGGGCAGGGCCGTCCGCGGCGGAAGCGTCGGCCCCAGTCCTGCCCATTGCAGAGGCGGTCATGGCGGCTTCCACGAACCTGGGCGGCAGGAACCTCGGGAAGTTTCTGTCGACGATACTGGGCGCCCCACATACGTACGGCGACCTCGTTCGTGACGTCTCCGAGGACAACAAGACGTGTACACTGCGGGTCAAGATATTGGAGGTAGGGGGGCCGCTCGAGTTTGCCGGCGAGGGGCCCGACTTCTCGAGTTCGGCTTCCGCTGCATATAGTCGAGCGTGCGACGAGCTGCCAGCCTATCTCGAGCGCTTGTCACTCGAAGGACAGCAGGAGATTGCTCGGCGAGGCCGAGAGCGTGAAGTGCTGCGTCGTGAGCAGTTCGTCTTGGAGAAGTTGGTCATGTCTCAGCTGGGTGTCCCACGCGTTCCGAAAGGCACACTCCGCTATACCTTCCCCAGCGACGGCGCGTGCGTGTTGCTGCTGGACTTGCTGGAGCAAGGGGCCACACTCGAGTTCGAAGGCCGGGGTTCAAGCGAGGTGAGCTCCATGCGCGCTGCGATCAAGGCCGCCGCGGATGGTCTGCAGGCGCAGCTGGAATCGCTGCCGCCAGACGTGCAACAAGATATTGCGCGGAGGGGCAGAGAGTTGACTCAGAACGCGTCTCAGAACGAGCAACACTTGAAGTTGGAGAAAGCGAGGTCCAAATTGCAGAACTTGGTTCACGAAAAATTGGGTGTCCCATCCCTGCCGAGAGGCACTATCAGCTATAACGCCTCCAGCGACGACAAGTGTGTCGTTCAGCTGGACTTGCTGGGGCAAGGAGCCACGCTCGAGTTCGTAGGCTCGGGTTCCAGCCAGCCGAGCTCCATGCTGGCTGCGATCAGGGCGGCGGAGGATGGGCTGCACTCACAGTGGGAAGCGCTGCCGCCAGATGTGCAAAACGAGATAGCGCGGAGAGGCAGAGAGTTGTCTCAAGATGTGAGGGAGAGGGAGTGTGCGAGCGCTGACTTATTCAAGTTGCTCAGAGGTCAGCTGGGTGTCCGCGACATGTCGAAGGGCACTGTGCGCTGCACTTTCCCTGGCGACGGCACGTACGTGGTGCGGCTGGACTTGCTGGGGCAAGGTACCACGCTCATGTTCGTAGGCAGGGGCTCCAGCGAGGCGAGCTCCATGCGCTCTGCGATCAGGGCCATAGAGTGTGGCCTGCATGCGCAGCTGGAAGCGCTTCCGATAGAGGTGCAGCAGGCGATATCACGGAGGTTTCCGAAGTTATCGATGCAGCGGGTCCTGCCCGTCGCAGAGGCGAGCAGGTCAGCGCAGGCTGCTCAGCGGCCAGGCGCAGAGGTGGCCGATACACCCGACCACCGTGAGACTGAGGCAAAGCTGCTCCTGAGCCTCTTGATCAGCATGGGGCAGAGCAGATCGCCGCAGTGGGCGAGAGCATGGAGACAGTACTGCGACTTGAAAGGGGGCGGCGCGCCTTTCTACGACCCAGCCAAGCATGACTTCAGATTCTTGGTAGGGTTCCTCGACCATTTAGGAACGATGGCCCAGCGATGGGGTGGAGGCGGCAGTAGCCGAGGCTCACGTGCCTCTGGTGACGACGAGTAGCCTCACAGTTTGCATCATCATCATCATCGTCGTCGTCGTCGTCGTCCTCGTCATCATCATAATCACCAACAGCATTCTCATTATCATCACCAGCATCATCATTATCAGCATCATCATCGTAATCATCATCACCACTATATCATCATCAGCATCATCATCAGCATCACCACCACTACTATCATCATCGTGATAAGCATCATCACCGCCACCATCATTACCACCATGATCATTTCCATCACCACTATCATCATCATCATCACCATCACCATCACTATCACCACCATCATCATCATCATCGTAATCGTCAGCATTATCACCATCACCATCATCATCAGCATCAGTATCATCATCAGCATCAGCATCCGCTTCACCATCATCATCATCACCATCACTATCACCACCATCATCATCATCATCACCATCATGATCATGATCATCATCATCACCATCATCGTCATCACCAATTTCACTGCCAACGTCATCATCACCACAACCATCACTATCATCGTCATCACCACCATCATCATCATCATCCTCATCCCCATCATCACCATCACCATCATCACCATCATCACCATCATCATCACACCACCACCATCATCATCATCACCATCATCATCATCCTCATCATCATCATGATCAGCATCATCATCATCATCATCATCATCATCATCATCATCATCATCATCATCATCATCATCATCGTTATCATTCTCATTCTCATTCTCATTCTCATCATCATCATCATCATCATCATCGTCATCATGGCCACGGGAGCTCACGAGATGCCTCGAGGCGCGCTCGCAGAGACCCCAAGGGAGGCCCCAGACACCCAAAACAATGAGGTATTTCAATCTCTTTTAGGTCTCTCAGGCTTTTCCCTTTGAGATAGCTTTGGAAGCGCTTCAGATAACCCAAGACCAAGATGGTACGCACGGCTGGACGCCCGAAGCAAGCCTACTGACGGCCTCACAACGCTCCGGTAGGACACGAAGATGGCCCAAGAGAGCCCCAAGAAGAGCCCCAAAATGGCCCTAGAGACGGTCCAAGAGGTCTTGAGCATCACCCGATATCCTTCCCCCCCCAAAGTGACCTCAGCAGCCCCCCCCCAGGACCCTCAAGACCCCCCAGGGGAGCCCCAATATGGTCCTCTGACATTCAAAATATGAGGCCAAGGGAACCCTGCATCCCAAGCCGGTCCAGTTCAGTTTCAGTATGCACCCGCACCATCCCTGGACATTTCAAGGGCCCCCGTGACGTCCCACATGCGCCCGAGTGTAGCCCCGGAAAGTTTCGTGGGACTTTCCTCATCGCCCTTACTCCTTCCGCTGGGAGAGAGACACGAATCCTTGAGAGATGGATCGGTTGCTGCTCGTGCGTCTCTTCTTCCTCCTCCTCCTCCTTCTCCTCCTCCTCCCCTCCCTCTTCTTCCTCCTCCTCCTCCTCCTCCTCGAGAGTGTTTTTCTTTACCCTCTGGGCCATAACGCGTGTTATGCCCCCTACCCTCACCCCCCCCTCCCCACCTCCCCTCAGTGCGTCCCCGGCACTGCCGTCTGAGGGGGGGGGCGCTACGTTATGCCCCTTCCCGTCCCCCCCCCTCAGCCCCCATAACGCCCGTTATGGCCGCGAATCGACAAATTCGAACTTCCTCCTCCTCCTCCTCCTCCTCGTCCTCCTCGTCCTCCTCGTCCACCTCCTCCCAGCCGCTTCCCTCTTCCCTCTTAGCGGAAGCACGTGTGTATCACGAGGAAGGGATGGGAAGGCAGAGTGGAGAAAGGATGATGCTGATGATGATGATGACGGCGACGATGATGATGATGATGATGGCGATGATGCTACTGATGATGCTGCTGATGATGACGATGATGATGCTGATGCTGATGCCGACGATGATGATGATGATGATGATGATGATGATGATGATGATAATAATGATGATGATGATGACGCTGCTGCTGCTGATAATGATGCTGCTGCTGATCATGATGCTTCTGCTGACGATGCTGATGACGATGACGATGATGACGATGATGATGCTAATGATGATGATGATGATGATGATGATGATGATGATGATGATGATGCTCATGATGATGATGATGACGATGAGGATGATGATGATAATGATGATGATGATGATGATGATGATGATGATGGTGGTGATGATGATGATTCTGATGCCGAACATGATGACAATGGCGGTGGTGGTGGTGGTGGTGGTGGTGATAGTGATGGTGGTGATACCGATGCTGAACATGATGATGATGATAACGATGGTGAAGATTATGACGATGATGATGACGATGACGACGATTCTGATGATTGGGATGATGGTGATGATGATGCTGATTATGATGATGATGGTGGTGACGATGATGATGATGACGATGATGGTTATGGTGATGTTGATGATGATGCTGCTGATGATGATGAGGATGGCGTCGACGATGACGCTGCTGATGATGATGATGTTGACGATGATTATGATGCTGATTCTGATGATGATGATGATGATGATGAGGATGAGGCTGGTGGTGATGATGATTATGATGATGATGATGATTCTTGTGAGCATGATGACGATGACGTCGACGACGATGATGACGTTGATGATGATGATGAGGCTGATGGTGATCAGGATGATGATCAGAATGCTGCTGCTGATGATGATGATCATGGTGATGATGATGATGACGATGATTATGAGGATGATGATCAGAATGCTGCTGCTGCTGACGATGATGATGCTGCTGATGATGATGCTGCTGCTGATGATGATGATGATGACGAGGATGACGACGTCGATGGTGCTGCTGCTGATGATGATGTTGATGGTGATGATGATGATGATGACGATGATGATGCTGATGAGGATGAGGATGATGATGATGCTGATGATGATCATGATGATGATGATGATGATGATGATGATGGTGGTGGTGGTGGTGGTGGTGGTGATGATGATGATGGTGGTGGTGATGAGGATGGTGGTGGTGCGGTGATCATGATCACGCTCATGCTGAGTAGGAGGAGGAGGAGAAACAACAGGAGGAGGATGAAGAGGAGGAGAGACAGGAGGAGGGTGAGGGTGACGTGGGGGATGCTTTTTTTTTTTTTTGCTTCGGCCCCCAGACAGTTTGCTCACAAGGCTCCTCTCTACATTTGCACTTGTGCATGTATGCAGGATGTATGTCTGTGGCTCGTGAGAAGGGCCGGCGGGGCCGTTGCCGGCCCCAGGATCGGAGACTTGACGGTCTCCCGTATGGCCTGCTGCATGATCTTCCGTACGGTCTCTTTCAGGAGGGGAAAAACACACACAGACACAATTAATCCTCGATTCCTAAGAGAATATGGGAAAATATGGGAAGTGGAGGGGAAGACAGAAATCCAGAAAAGATGGGAACATATGGGACATATTTCTATTTGTGTGTATTTATTTGTGTGTCCCAGGGCCCCTTCAGTATCGCCTGCCGCGTGTTCTCCCGTAGGGCCTGCCGCGTGGTCTCTCCCCCGCTGGTCTCCCGTAGGGGTCTCCCGTGTGGCCTCCCGTGTGGTCTCCCGTGTGGCTTGCCGTGTGGCCTCCCGTAGGGTCCCCCCAATGGTCTCCCTGCTGGGTACTCCAGATTTCGTAATAAAGGGAGGGGGGTCTCATTTCGGGGGGGGTCTCTTCCAGGCTATCTTGGAGGGCCTGGGGGGGTCTGGGGACGATGTTCTGGAGGGTTCTCCCACGGGGGGGGGGTCTGAAATGGCTCGTCTTGCAGGGTCCAGACCCCCTCCCTTTTATTACGAGGTCTGGAGTACGGTCTCTTGTGTGGTGTCCCAGATGGTGTCCCGTGTGGTCTCCCGTATCGCCTGCCGTGTGTTCTCCCGTAGGGCCTGCCGCGTGGTGTCCCCAGCTGGCCTCCCGTAGGGGGTCTCCCGCGTGGCCTCCCGTGTGGCCTGCCGTGTGGCCTCCCGTAGGGTCCCCCCAATGGTTTCCCTGCTGGGTATGGTCTCCCGTCTGGTCTCCCGTCTGGCTCAAGGCCGTTCAGGAAAGTGGACTGCCCAGGGCACGCTCATAGCAGTACCGTTTGGTGCCTTCTCGATCGAGATCGAGAACCTGTGGCCGAGTGTGGGAAAATCGTCAGGTCTGATTGGTTTGATAGATTGGAACGCCAAAGGGGGCTCTCTCTCTCTCTCTCTCTCTCCCTCTCTCTCTCTCTGTCTCTCTCTCACCGCCCACCAATTCACCCCGATGCAACCCGAAGGCCCCGATCTTCCCTCCACTTCCAGGGGGGGGGGGCTCGGGGAGCATTGAACTAACGCATGCAGCCCGCACCCTTCCGTCGGGCCTGTCCCCCTACAGGAGGAGTGTTCAAAAACAGTCCATCAAAAATAGTCGGGGGAGGATGGTTCGAGCATGTCTCGGCTCTTTTGGGGCATTTTGGGGGCATCTTTCATTTTCCGCCTTGAGTCCCCGTGTGGGGGGACATGCCCAGTCGGCCCTGATTAGTAGGTCGACCCCGCCAGATCAAGGGTACCCTTGTGTCCTGTGGTTCGCGACCTACGCTGTCTACATTCCTGCGGCGATGTGGCCCTCGAAAGGCTCTCGTGTCCTCTCGCGTGCCCTCTCCAAGCAAGCCCGACTGCACCCCCCCCTTGGCCCGAAATCCGGGTCTTCGGGTTGGGTTGGGGTGGCCTGGCAGGCAGTCGCTCTCGGCTCCGCTCTCTCGGGCCATGGGCTCGCTGCGTGTGCCTGCCGGGCGCCCGCCTGATCCCGGGGCTCTGCCCTCTCCTGGCCTTGCCGTGAGGCCCCTCCTTCTGGTTTCCCTGCTCTGTCAATGAAAGCCGTGCGCGGCCCGCTTAGCTTCGACCGGAAGAGGCTCGCTATCGACCCGCGGATCAAAAAAGTGCCTGCCGGGCGCCGGAAGTGCCGCGGCGGCCTGCGCGCGCCGCCCGGCGGCGGTTTCGCCTCGCGCGGCGGCTGGTGCCGAGCTGTGCGGAGGTCGGGGGTCGCGCTCGGTCCCCCCCTCCCTCTGCAGGAGGAATCTGCCAAAATACAAGAGAAGGTCAGGGGGCGATTTTGGGAGCATTCTGGAGCATGTTTACGGTATTCTTTATCTTTCGTCCAACATCCTCCTCCAGGGGGGCAGGCCCGACCTATTCCTACACAGAGAGAGAGAGAGAGAGAGAGAGCGGGAGAGAGAAAAGGAAATTCGGGGATGCAGACCCTGTCGAGTATGGACGCGCCCCATCGCACATCCCTGGGCTGGGCCCCAAACGGTCTGGCCAATCGAAAGCCCCACGAGGTCGGGGATCTCGGTCGCCATTGCTCGGCGGCGCGCCTGGGAGGGGGGAGGCGAGAAGGAGAAGGCCTTATCAGAGGGCACGGGAGCCCCCCGGCCTTTCTGAGAAGTGTCTAAGCTTAAATCGAAGGATTGCAACAAAAACCAAGGATTGCAACAAAAACCGAAGGTTTTTGTTGCAATCCTTGGTTTTTGTTGCAATCCTTGGTTTTTGTTGCAATCCTTCGGGTTTTTGTTGCAATCCTGGTTTTTGTTGCAATCCTTGGTTTTTGTTGCAATCCTGAGTCCCCCGGCCTTTCTGAGAAGTGTCTAAGCTTAAATCGGGCATGTCTCTCTACGGGAGGAAATTTCGCAGCTAGTAAAAATAGTCAAGGCACGATTTTTCTTTAATTTTTTTTTCATTTTTGATTTTCGTGTTTCTATTTTGCACTTTTCGCCCAACATCCGCCTGTAGGAGGACATGCCCGACCTAGTTCTAAGCCTTCCCCGAAGACGCAAAAGGCCTCTCAGAAGGCGCGAGGGCTCCTGAGAAGTCCCGCAGCCTTCCCGGAAGGCCTTCTCCTCCTCACCCCCCCCCGCGCTCGCCGCCGACATGCAGCTGGCACGTGGGTCAAGAGCAACTCTAGTTCGGGATGGGTACCCTCGCGTTCTTGGTGCTCGGGCCCTCCGCCCTGGAAGGGTCCTCGCCCGGGGCATCCCCACGGGGCCCTGAGCTCGCGGCGAGGGGCTCGTGCTCCCGACCAGCGCCATCCTGGCCCTGTTTCGGCTGTGAACCTTTCTCCCCCCCCCCCTTTCCCCAGACCCCCGAACCGTTCTTTTCATGTTTTGCTTTCTTTTTTTTAAACTGCGTGGACGCCCCGAGGTCTCGACCCATTCGGGGGGGACCGGCTTTTCGGCCTGGGTGTCGTTGCTGGACGTTCCCCGGGCCCAGCGAGGGCCCACGGCGGCCGCAGAAGAGCGGGAGCCCTTCCGCTGTGCTCTTTCACGACGCGGCGGGATGCCTCCTCCTCCTCCTCCTCCTCCTCCTCCTCCTCCTCCTCCTCCTCCTCCTCCTCCCCCTCCCCCTCCCCCTCCTCCTCCTCCTCCTTCTCCTCCCCCCCCCCTCCTCCTCCTCCTGCTCCTCTTCCTCCTCCTCCTCCTCGTCGTCGTCGTCGTCCTCCTCCTCCTCCTCCGCCCGGCGAGGCGGAGGAGGCGAGGCAGAAGGCCGCGGTCCGCCTGCAGTCCGCGCGCCGGGGCTCCCTGGCGAGGCAACGGGCGCAGCTCCTGCGCGCCCAGCAGCAGGAGGCCCCCCGGCAGGAGGGCGACGACGGCGAGAGCTCCCCCCCTTCTCCTCCTCCTCCTCCTCCTCCTCCTCCTCGTCGTCGTCGTCGTCCTCCTCCTCCTCCTGCTCCTCCTCTTCCTCCTCCTCCTTCTCCTCCTCCTCCTTCTCCTCGTCCTCCTCCTCCTCCCCCTGCCACTCGGCTCGGGCTGGCGACGGCCTTCCCTCCTGAGACCCTGCCTGCCAAGAGGCAGCCTCCTTCTAAGAGAAGTCATCCCCACGTGGCTGCCTGCTACGTGGGCTCCGCACGTGGCTGCACGACTTCGGCACGACCGAGGAGGTTTGCATAACCTGACCGTTCTCCTTCTGTTTCGCCCCTCCGGTCCTCCCGCGCCTTCGTGCCTCAATGCGCTTCGGTGCGCCCCGCCGTTTGCTCGACCGACGTCTGCGCGCTTGCGTCCGCGGACCAAGTTTTTCTCCATATCCCAAGTATGGGGTTGTTGTTATTATTATTATTGTTGTTATTATCATTATTATTATTATTATTACTGGGACCGCTCCGCTGGCTTCCCGCCTCCTTCCTCCCTTTCGGATGCGCTCATGTTCGGATGCGCACTCGATGCACTCACATCCAGGCTCGCTTCTCGCATTTAGACTCGTACATAGTCAGAGTTATTCACATTCAGACCCATTCGTTCACATTCAGATTCGCTCACTTACATTCAGACTCACTCACGCAGACCACTCAAGCTCAGGCTCGCCTCACATTCAACGTGTGAGCATGTCTCGAGTGAGGCAGTGGCTCCAGCACCAGAAGGGAATGCGGCCAGGGGGTGCTTCGCGGGCTCGTTCGAGCCCAGATTGTGGGGATGTCTCAGGCGTTTTGTCTGTTTGGTGGCATGGATTTCTTTGCTTTCAGAGCAGATTGTGAGGATGCCCCGAGCGAAGCGCCGTTGTCAGCACCAAGCGGTGGAGCTGCGAGGGGTTGGTTTCACGGGCCTGTTGGCGCTCAGATTGTGGAGATGTCTCAGGCGGTTTGCCTGTGTGGTGGCTTGTTTTTTTCCCCAACTGTCCTGTGGTGTTGGTCCACGTTTTGAAGAGAGCATCCCGCGTTCTCCTCTCCTCCTCCTTCTTCTCCTCCTCCTCCTCCTCCTCCTCCTCTTTCCCCTCCTCCCTCCTCCCTGCGCTTCTCCACCCAGTACAGCGTTGCGTTTCGTGGCCCCAAAGGGAGCTCCACCGAAGGTCCCAGTGGCGGAACTCGTATGCGGTTCCTTCGCCCAGTGCAGCGTTTCGTGGCCCCATAGGGACCGAAGGTCCGAGTGGCGGAACTCGCATGCGGTTCCTGCGCCCAGTGCGGTGTTTCGTGGCCCCATATGGAGCTCCACCGAAGGCCCCAGTGGCAGAACTCGCGCGGTTCCTGCGCCCAGTGAAGTGTTTCGTGGCTCCATAGGGAGCTGTACCGAAGTGAACTCGCATGCGGTTCCTGCGCCCAGTACAACGCTTCGGGGCCTCATAGGGATCTCCACCAAACGTCCCAGTGGCGGAATTCGAATGCGGTTTCGGCGCCCAGCACAGCATTTCGTGCCCCATAGGGAGCTCCACCGACGGTCCCAGTGGCGGCACTCGCATGCAGTTCCTGCGCCCAGTGCGGTGTTTCGTGGCTCCATAGGGAGCTCCACCGAAGGCCCCAGCGGCAGAACTCGCATGCGGATCCTGCGCCCAGTGCGGTGTTTCGTTGCCCCATAAGGAGCTCCACCGAGGGTCCCAGTGGCGGAACTCGCATGCGGTTCCTGCGCCCCGTGCAGCGTTTCGTGGCCCCACGGAGCTCCACAAGGACCTCCGGCTCATGCGGGCGCCGCGGATCGAGTTTTTCTCGGCAGGACCGCCGGAGGGCTTGCCGAAGCAGATGGAACAGTTTGCGGCGCGCACGAAGCGGTGCCGGAGGGAGGCGACGGCCCTTGCCATGGAGCTGGGCTTCACCGAGTTGATTCGCGAGGCCTGACCAAGGTAGCGGCTCGCCCGAGCCTCGCCTTCTCTCGACGGTCTGTCTGTTTGTCCCCGCGCCGCGGACGATCCGCGCGCGTCGCTGGCACCCTCTCGGAGCGAGCAGCGCGCGTCGCGGGAACTCTATGCTGCGCTCTGCCCAGCGCCTCGCTCGCCTGTCGTCGCTCTGTCCAGCAGCCAGAGCTTTGCCCGCAATTAGCCAGCAAGCTAGCTCTGTTTGCTCCGCGCAGCGGACGACCCGCACGCGTCGGTTGGACCCCTCCAAGGCGACCGGCGCGCGTCGCGGGGGCCCCTCCGGGGCGACCGGCGCGCGTCGCGGGGATTCCGCGCTGCGCTGCGCTTGGCCGCAGCTTGGGCTTTGGAGTGCGCGGGCACAGAGGGAGACAAAGAAGGGAGGGAAAATCTTGGACTGTCTAGCTTTTCTCGCTACCCCCCATCGAACATCACGGACAGAGGGAGCCGCGCCGAAGGCCTTGTAGGGAGCTCCACCGAAGGCCCAAGTGGCTGCGCCCGCGTGCCGCCGCCGTTCCACTTTGGCACGCTCCTCGCGCAGTTCGTGTCCCCATAAGGAGCTCCACCGAAAACGATGTTCACATATGCGGGGTTCGCAGCTGCATATGGTTGGGTGCTTCGCCAGGTTAATTTTGGTTTCAGAGCAGCCTGTGAGGATGCCCCGAGGGATGCGCTTGTTTCGTTGCCCGCGGGGGGAGCCGCAAGGGGTTGGTCTCATGGGCTTGTCGGCGCCCAGAGTTTGGCGATATCTCAGGGGGGTGGCTTGGCATTCCTGCTTTCAGAGCTGATTGTGAGGATATCCCGAGCGAAACGCTGAATTCAGGCACCAAGACGGGGCAGCCAGTGGGTGTTGCGCGGGCCCTTTCCCGCCCAGTTCGGTGGGATGCGCTAAGCGGTTTTCTTGTTTGGTGCCCTGGACTTTTCTGCTTGCGGAGCAGATTGCGAAGATGTCTCGAGCGAGGCGCTGGCTTCAGCACTCCGGGTGGGCAGATCGTGGGGATGTATCTAGCGAAGCGTTCGGTTTTGCATGTCCGGCTCATGTCCATCCAGTGCCCCATGGTCATGTCGATGCAGAAAAAACGGCGGCTGTCAGGACGGGGGAGGATGGTCGGATGAGGAAGGATGAGGACGCAGGAAGAGTGAGAAAGGATGAAGGACAAGGGGGTGCGTACGACGAGATGTAGGAGGAAGGAGAGGAAGGGGCCTGCTCACCGCCTGTATGTCTGTGACTTGTCGTCGTCGATGTCCCTCATCGTAGCCGTCGTTGTCGTCCACTCGGGCTCGACTTCGCACCCAGACGCTCACGGCCAGACGCTCACAGTTGGACGTGCCAGGACATGATTTCTCTCGCTTCGCGGGGTGCACGTCCGGAGCACGTACAGTCACGTCGTCGCGGGGCCTCTTGGGAGCCTTTTGGGGGCCTCTTGGAGGCCTCCTGGGAGTTTCTTTTGGCCTCTTGGGGACTTCTTTGGGGCCTTTCCCCCCTCCCTCCTTTTCATACACCCTCCCCATCTTCCCTTCCAGCGCCGGCTCTAATCATGCGCGCCGCCGTGACCAACTTCCACCTGGCTGGCGCTGCGCCGCAGTTCGCCCAGAGGGGGGAAAATAACATTACACTCCAGTCGCTGTGTGGCCTTTGGAGGGTTTTTTTGGGGGCCTTTTGGAGGCTTCTGGGAGGCTTCTTGGAGGCTTTTTCGGGGTCTCTTGGGGCCTCTTGGGGGCGTCTTCGGCCGTCTTGGGGCGCTTTTGCGCTGTTTCGCCCCCTCGGAGGCTGTCTTGGGGGCCTCTCGCGGCCGCATTGGAGCCGCCCTCTTGGGGTCCTCTTGGGCCGACTTCGCGGCCTCTTGGACCGTCTTGGGGGCCTCTTTGGGCCGTTTTGGGGCCCTCCTGGGCCGTCTTGGGGCCCTCTTGGGTGTTTTTTTGGGCTGTACTGGGGCGATTCTGGAAGCTGCTTGGGCCGTCATTGATTTTTGAGAGTCGACAAAGGCGAGAACGCTAAAATATTGCCAGAACTATGGGAAAATGATGATTTTGGCTTCTGGAGGCGCAGTTGTAGGCGCTCTTGGGGCCCTCCTGGGCCGTCCTTGGAGCTTTTGAGGCCGTCTTGGGGCCGTCTTGGGGGCCTCATGGGTCCCCGTTGGGAATATCTTGGGCCGTCTTTGGCCGTCTTGGGGCCGTCTTGGGCCGTCTTGGGGCCATCTTGGGCCATCTTGAAGCCCTCGAGGAGCCCCCAGAGGCCCAAGAGGCCGAATGTGTTGATTTTCGTGGGTTTTGTAGGTTTGTAGGGCCCCAGAAGGGGGGCGTCACTTTGGTCCGGCGGTGTGGCGCAGCTCCCAGAGGGGGTTAGGGGGGAAACATAATAATGTAACACAATACAACATGTGGCAAGTATGCAATCATTGGATACATTGGATACGTTGCAGTAAGGCGTTCGCCGAAAAACGCTGCCGCTCAGCACGTCACCTCCGGACGTGGATTCATTGGCTTATGCCACACCGCTGGCCCCTTGGGGCGGCAGCAATCGTCCCCCGCGTGGCCTGTCCGGACAGCCTGTGAGGCCCCCTCTAGACACGTGCTGGAACCCTCTTAGGACCGTCCTGCCGTTCCCCCAGGCCGTTGCTATTATTTCTGGGGCCTTCGTGTGGCGCCCGGAGGCCGTCGTGGAGCCTTCTTGGGAGCCTCTTCGGGTGACAGGGGTCGATCTTGGAGTTTTATTGGGCCGTTGTGGGCCTTGTGAGAGCCCAAGAAGCGAATGTGCTGAAAATGTACGTTTGCCTCCGGAAAGGGGCGGCTTTTGCTTGTGGAGGCCTTCTTGGAACGCCTCTTGGTCGCGTTTTCAAACGTCTTGGACGCCCATGGGGTCGTCTGGCGGCGATCTTGGGCGGTTCGGACCGAATCGTCCCCCGCGTGGGCCGTCCGGACAGCCTTTGGGGGCCCTCTTGCCCCGTTTTGGAGCCCTCTTGGGACTGTCCTGCGGCTTTCCTGGGCTTTTCCTATGGTTTCTGGGGCCTTCGTGGATCGCCCGGACGCCGTCTTGGAGCCTTTTTGGGAGCCTCTTGGGCTGGCGAGGGTCGATCTTGGAGGCTTCTTGGGACCTTTTGCGCCGCGTGCAAGCTGAATGGGGGAATGTGGTGTACATGTACGTTTTCCCGAGGGAATGGAACGATTTTTGCTTCTGGAGGGCCTCTTTGGGGCGCCTCGTAATATTGCTTCACACGTCTTGGGGACTTATGGAGCCGTGTGGAGACAATCTTCGGCGTTTTGGGGCGACCTTTCGTCGATTCGTAGCTTTCTTGGACCGTTCCCGGGAACTTTTGGAACCTTTTTGGTCTGTTTTGGGGCCTCCTGAGACTCCAAATGTGCGGATGATGAATTTGCCTTCCCCCCCCCTTCCAAACCGGGCGGACTAGGTCCCGGGGGGAGGGGTTTGGGGAGAGGGAAGCATCTCACACGCCGTGACCCCAAGGGATCGGCGGATATGCACATCTGGGGATCTCCTCGTCGACCTCTGTTGCTGATCCTTCTTCGTTCACTTTCTCCACTTCGGGTGCTTGACTCCTCTTCTCAAGAACTGGGTCTCCTTTGTTTTGCGTTGCTTGGCATCGATTTTCTTTTTTCAGATGTACACAGAATCTACCACCCGCTTTCCCTCGGAATTGTGAGCTCTCCCTGGGATACTTATATATACCATCCTCGGTAGGCCCATGTATCGCCCCTCATCCCTGTCAAATAAACCTATGTGCCCGCATTCGTTCATCGCAGAAGCTTGCAGCACATGGGAAACGTCCACACGTGCACGCACATGTCGAAATTATGTTAACTACATAGCTTTTGCATGGAATTTTCTTGTAGCAGCATTGGAACTTTCAGGTATTCTATTAGAAGCCTTGGAAATTTTCTGCCCGCGCGAACTGTTGGCTGAAATCTCAGGAAAACCACATGATCTTAGCGGTCGCGCCCATCGCCTGCATTCTCATCTCATCACGCGCTGCATCCGCGTTGATCCAGCATGCGCCCAGTGCACAAACCTGTGTCAAAAATACCATGCGGGCCACACGTGCGCGCCGCCACGCGAGCAACAGAAAATTGCCAGGGTCCTTGGGTTTCCGCGCACCTCCTCACCATCACTTTCATCAGCGCCGCCGTATCACGTCATCGTCGTCGACAACCGCCAGAGTTGCTGCCATCATCACGCAGGCACCTTCATTATCGACACATGGACATCATCATCATCATCGGTGTTACCAGCATCGGCGCCGCCATTGGCCTTGCCGTCATCCTTGTCATCATGGCCACCACCATCGTTACTACCATGAGCGTTGCCGCCGATGTCGACGCCATCATGGCGCCGCGCCCGCTGGAGCCACCGACCCGCATGGACGTGCCCGCGCGCCAGCGCGGCCCGGACATGCGCTGGGGTGTTGCCATCGGGCCGCGCCATCGCGGCCGCATGGGTTGTGTCAACCAGCTGGCCACTCTGCGCGCGAGCTGGCGCGCGCCAGCGCGGCCGCAGAGACGCGCCAGCCATGGCCAAGCTCTTCTCGCAGTCGCCGCCGCATGTTTTTTGGCAAGCCAGGTTGCGGGTGCGAGGGTGGCATGATGGCGCGAGCGGTGGAGCTGACGATCCAAGAGTTGGCAGCAAGCAGTTTGCACGTTGCGCATTGCACCACATGGGTTGCGCCGCCTAAGTTGCACCACGTTTATCGCCCACGCGGAGCGCGACCCGCTCCGCGCCCCCGTGGGCGGCCCGGGGCCGCGCCCCCGGGCCCAGGGCGGCGCAGCTCCTGCGCGAGGAGCGCCAGGCCCGTCTCCGGCGGCGGCCCGCCCCTCGCGCGAGGCAGGGGTCGCCCGCCGCATCGGCGCGCCCTCGGGCAGATCGTGGGCACCTCGGAGGGCCCTTCCTCGTGTCGGGTCGGGCGAAGGGGAGAAGGGTAATCATGAGGATGCTGATGATGATGATGCTGATGAGGATGATGATGATGATGCTGCTGCTGATGATGATGATGCTGATGATGATGATGCTGCTGATGATGATGACGATACTGATGATGGTGATGCTGATGATGATGATGAGGATGCTGATGATGATGATGATGACGATGATGATACTGATGACGATGCTGCTGCTGCTGATGATGATGATGATGATGCTGCTGCTGCTGATGACGATGATATTGAGGATGATGCTGCTGATGATGATGATGATGATGAAGGTGATGATGAGGAGGAGGAGGAGGAGAAAGATGATGATGATGATGTCTGCTGATGATGATGATGATGATGATGATGATGATGATGATGATGCTGCTGCTGATGATGATGATGATGATGATGATGATGCTGCTGATGATGATGATGATGATGATGATGATGATGATGATGATGATGATGATGATGATGATGATGATGATGATGATGATGATGATGATGATGATGATGCTGCTGCTGCTGATGATGATGATGATGATGCTGCTGCTGCTGCTGATGATGATGATGAGGATGATGCTGCTGATGATGATGATGATGATGATGATGATGATGAGGAGGAGGAGGAGGAGAAGAGGGAGGGGCGGGGGGAGGAGGGGAGGAGAGGAGGAGGAGGAGGGAGGAGGTGGAGGAGGAGGAGGAGGAGAAGTTAGAGGAGTTGGAGGAGGAGGAGGAGGATGAGGAGGAGGGTGAGGGTGAGGGTGAGGGGGAGGCGGAGGGGGAGGGGGAGGAGGAGGAGGAGGAGGAGAAGGAGGAGGAGGAGGAGGGGGAGGAGGAGGAGAAGGAGGAGGAGGAGGAGTAGGAAGTGAAGGTTGATGATGCTGCTGATGATGATGCTGATGCTGATGCTGATGCTGATGCTGCTGCTGATGATGATGATGATGCTGACGCTGCTGATGATGATGAGGATGATGATGCTGATGATGATGCTGCTGATGATGATGAGGATGGTGATGATGATGATGAGGCTGAGGATGCTGATGCTGATGATGATGAGGATGATGTTGATGATGCTGATGATGAGGATGATGATGCTGCTGATGATGCTGATGATGATGCTGCTGATAATGTTGATGATGATGCTGATGATGATGATGATGATGATACTGATGACGATGCTGCTGCTGATGATGATGCTGATGCTGATGCTGCTGATGATGATGATGCTGCCGCTGCTGATGATGATGATGATGATGCTGATGATGATGATGCTGATGCTGATACTGTTGATGATCATGATGATGATGACGATGATGATGATGATGATGATGATGATGCTGATGATGATGATGATGA